TTCAGTATAAACTTGGTTGTTTACCATCTTTGTGATTTCACATAAATTTTAGAATTTTTCGTTTGTGCAAAAACTGTTCTTAGGGTTTTTGATAGACATTGCATTGAATCTATAGATGGCTTCAGGCAGTATGGATAATTTAACCATGTTACATTTCCCAACCCAAGAATGTAGGATGTCTTTTCATTGTTTGTGACAATTTAATTCACTGATGGTTGTAATTTTCAATATAAACATCTTGTATTTCCTTACCTAAGATTATGCCTAAGTATTTTATTTGGTATGGTGCTATTATTCACTGAATTCTTTTCTTAGTTTCCTTTTCAAATAGTTAACTGCTAGCCTATAAAAAAAAGCAATCACCTTTGTTTGCTGAGTTTGGTATCCTAAAACCATACTGATTCGATTATTGGCCCTCACGGCTTCTTTTTGGTACCACAAGGTTGCCTCTATCCAAGGTCATGCCACTTGTGACAAGAAAAATTTAACTTCTTCTTTTCTGATTTGAGTGCAGTGACCCATCCAAGCTCCAAGACTGGAAAACAAGTACCTGTTCTTTGGGCAGATGTGAAGAAATTGAGGGTCCACATGCAGACATCAACTCATTCATTCCCCTTCTCATTCTAGTGAGAACTAGAATCCTTGCCTCTTGGCTTTGTTGAGCATGGGGAGGAGGATCACACCATTTACCTGACCAGTTTTTATCTCTGTTCTCCATCAGAGCCCAAGACTAACAAGATAGTCTCAGGTCCCTAGAGGATCTCCACTGAAAAAGCCAGGATGCTGGAAGCATATGCCACTTTTACTTTGCCTTTGAAAAGGCAGTAATTTTCTTCCTGAGGATATACTGCTATGCTGGGTGGAGAGATTTCTAGTCTGAGAGTATCTCAAATCTTGCTCCTGGTATTTGTCTGGAATGAGAGTCTTTTTTTAATTTCTTTTTAGATTTCTTAGGAAATTTTTCTATGAGTTGTTTCTAACTTGATATATTTATAGGGGAGAAGAAAGAGTGGGTCTTCCTACAATGTTAACTTGTAGACATCCTCCTTTGTGGACACTTATTTTATTTTCCTTTCCTTTCCTTTCCTTTCCTTTCCTTTCCTTTCCTTTCCTTTCCTTTCCTTTCCTTTCCTTTCCTTTCCTTTCCTTTCCTTTCC